AGTTTAGATTTGAACGACGCACCTCCCGGTCCGTAAGCTGGTTACTATGTATCCTGAGCCCGAGATTCTTTCTAGAGTAAATTGGAGCGTATTGTACAAGAGAACGAAAGTAAGAACAACTCAGCGACTAAATCAGAATTCAAGCATATTTGTGGGCTGTGTTTTGGTCGGAAATATCCCCTGTCCTAGCTAAGTGTTCGAAGGAGCTTGCCGGTAAAATAAGGACTGAATACTCGTCTCACTCAAAATTCAAAAACATAATTAAACGGGATTTTTAGCACATGTCGCATATTCGTAGGACTGTTTACTGAAATACTAGACAGCGGTGTGATGACCAAATAAAATGACAACATAATTTATCAGATTACCTTCTCCACAAGCATTATTGGAAAATCGTAAAAATAGCATAGTAATAAGTAATGGATCATTATCCATGGAAATTGCACACCAAAATTTACAGCACTCTAAGAAGTAACAGAACCAAAATGATTAATAATACTATACTAATATCAGCAATATTCATAATGCTATGTTCACGCTAAATGTTCTTGATTCCAACAGGAAATTTCCATCTTTTCTATTAGGGTAAATGGGTCCATCGGCCGTGTAAAACGCAATCAAGGAAAAGGATTGGAGACTTTTGCAGACAACAGCATAAACACGTTGATCATGAATTCGAATTTTATTCACTAATATCCATGCAAAGAGTGAATGCTGATGGCCAGAACTGCCCATTTTTACTGCATAGCATTATTTTCTCCAGTATACACAAAAATAATAACATCTGTATACCAGAGGACTGGATGACTTTGGTCAGTTCGCCCGAAAATATCTGCGCCTTCTCCTTCTCTACGAAGATGAGATAGATATCGTTTTCATATTTCCGATCGACGAAGTACTTGTTTGAGGCTATTTGAACACCGAGGTTTTGGAAACCTTCTGGCGTTCGTCTCATGGTTTCATCGATCACGATGCTAAACAATAATGGAGAGAGCAAGCACCCCTGATAAAAACAGCTTTTTGCATGGAAGATTTTAAAAAGCTCTCCGTACACTCTCACACGCCAGGAAGTCTGAGAATACAAAGGGTGTATTATGTTCACAGACGCCTGGGGAATTCCCATTATTACGCCTGTCGAAAATCAGACCGATCGAACGAATCAAGTGCATCGTCGAAATCCTAGAATACTAAAATTTAGGGTCGTTTGTATGTAAAGCGTTGTTTTATCACCTGACGGATTATGAAGATTTGATCAACGCAACGCCTACCAAGCCGGAACCCCGCTTTCTGCTCTCGAGTCAGTGTTTCACGAGACGCCATAATGCGGCGAAGTACCAGTGACGCCAACAGTATCATTAGGACCAGGGTCAAGCTGATCCACCATGTAGTAACCACACTCATTGCGAGCCCCATTACTGGCTCTCCTCAGTTGTCTGGGACAGACACTTTTAGTTCTTCTGCTTGACAAAGGACCAAAAAGATAACTGATCGCTGAGTGCATTTTTATTTAAGAATTCATATATCAACCCACTAAAACAAAAACCAACTGTGGTGCCCTGAGAGTAACAGCGAGATCAAAATTAGCCGTCAGTTATGTGCGATAGAGAACTTATCATCAAGGCTCTGAATGCAGGAGCGAAAATTCGGTCGGGACATTTCACGGTTAAAGTACTGAATTAAGGTACCTGAATGAACCGACACATTAAAGCCAGTGTTCTCCAAAATTCCAGTACTAAGTGAGTTTTTCCTGTTATAAAAAAGTGTGCCTTTTGAATAATAACGCTTGTTTTGTGGTTCCTCTTTGAACTCACGGAGGCGAAAAACACTATTTCCTAACGAGCTGGACAGCGGCGGCTCATGGTCTTTGTAGCGCAGCCGTAAACATGAATCAGTGATGAGAAATAGTTTCTAATATCTGAACAAAATGAAAAATTCTGTTTTACTCTCGTAAGATCTGTTGGAATACGTCCATACTTTGGTTGTGTCCGGTTATCCTAGAAGGTCATATTTTAATGCCGATAATTCATCATCGAATAAATGGTCTGAACTACTTAGAATTGGACTCTTTCGTAGGATAGTAGAGTACCGGTCACCCACTAGGTCACGCGTATCACTCGTCACAAACATTAAAATCACGTAATAATTGCTATCCCACTTGCAACCTTAGACGACAACATGAACACTCCAATTTCACATCCATTTTGCTTACGTGGCTACCACTTACGTCACGCGCCAAGCTTATCAGGTCAAGTCGTATTCATGTTCGAGCAGTTATCAAACACGAATAGATACCCATCTCTGCACAATGCACTGCCACCCGACCCAAAACAAACACTTGCGCGGACAGGACGGGAAGTCAACTGAGCTCCACAATCCTCTACGGACAACTAACAACTGGTGAGCCCCGATCTCGGGGCTACTTCATTTATAACCACAGACCATGGTTCCCAATCTGAATCCCATCTAATTCAACGCCTCACCGAACTGCTAGCATGCACATGCACTCGCATTATGGCATACCAAGCAGATCACTAATGGTAGCGTCATTTATTCCGATGCTTACCACTTGGAATATATTCGTCCGAGGAACACTTTAATACTAAGTAATTTTCACTATGAAAATTTGAACGACCCGAAATATAGAGCGGTCATTTCTGAAACCAAAGGGATTTTTTCACCCAACTAAGGTTCTCTTTGACGGCTGTACAATTGTTCATAGATTGTCAGCCGTGACTACACTAAGAAAATGGCGTGCCATTCTGTCCGCCCCACGTTCTTATGCTTAGATAGGACGTCCAGAGAGAACCTTTATTCAGACAATCTGATAGCACATATTTTGGCGCTGTTAATTTTCCGTATGTAAAATTCCATACGGAACGTACTGATCGCCTATCCGAAAATGCTGTTGAAAAATTAGGAACAAAAGATAAACATTTCAACTGAAGCATTCTTTTAGTACATGGCCGCAACACCACCAGTGGAAAACAAGATGGTTGAAATACCGTTCGATAACCGAGGCCTGGAACGGTGTAATTAATGCGTAAACAGTGCAGTAAGTAATAAATTAACTGCAAAAGAAGGCACTTCGATTGCAGTGATTCGGCAAATAACCTCCGTTAGCGGAGCAAACCATAATTTTTCAAACACAATGCCGTAAACGTCCGACAGTACGTGTCATTGCTAGTAGCTTCATTTATGCCAACTAACGTTTAGTTTGTCACCAATTTCTGTATGCTCAGTTCATCTGAGTGCCAATCGCCGCGAGGTCTTACTATAGCGATGAACAGTAAGGTTAGTGAACTTAACTACTATCTTGGTTTGGCCACTTTGAACCGGCAAATAAGCAATAAAAATGAAAGCTGCTTACGAGGAATCGAAACATGATAAGGGGGTTTTGGTTTAAGATAGGCGGTGAAGAAGCAAACGGTTGTTGTACTGAGCCTCAGGAACGTGGCGAACCGGACTAGATATATGTATCGCCAGGAGCACCACATCAATCAGATAACATTAACACAACCAAGTGGCAAGCCAATTGATTAGGCAGGGTTAATAGCAGGGATGCAAACTTCATACAGTAGAAACGAAGAGGATGGACTCAAAGATCACCCCGACGTTGACAAATCAGCTCGCGAGCAAACGACCCATGCAGTAGGGATACACAAAATAACTGAACACTTCTATTATACCCATACACGAATCAGCGCACACCACTTTGAACGAATGAGAAACTGCTGCGCTTTACCTCACAAGAGCGTACTGATAATACTTCTTGCACCAGTGATCAAATCCTTGTAAACAATCGTAATTCTTGGTGAAGAAGCTGACCACAAACCAAACAACCAGAGCAAGTAGCTTTTTCTACTCAACCGCCTCAATTTTGCGTGCCCTCAACGCTTTTTGGCACTTGAGTGACATCTGAGGTTCAACAAAAGTTTTTCAAATACCTCCGTGGAAAATCCATTATAGGTACGGTCAAACTGCATATAATAAACTGTCTGCCGCACATTCCAATCCATTCTGCTGCCAGTGTCGCCTTCTAACATTTGGAAGGTGCTGGGAAACCTTCCATGGCTAGTTTTTGGTGAGTCCGAGATAAGGTCGTGCATCAAGAAGGCGAACGTCTTAACACGATTAAGGAACGCCAGCGCCATATTGAGGACAACCACTGGATTCAAATTCAAATTTCTATTTCTATTTCTATTTCTAACTGTCCTATAATCGTAAAGTAACTTGTTCGATAAAAACGCGATGTTACGGTGAACTGTTACAAATGTCCAAAACATGGCAAGAGGATCAAATATTAGGCACGGTAGTCGAAAGCGTGCAACAATCCTGATGTTCAATAGTAAACTGCGAAAATGTTATGGATCCAAACGCTTTTATTCCAGGTCGCACCCGTCGATAAAAGTGTACGAGAAAATAAAGCATTCTCTAACTACAGTATAAGTCTGTAAACATGAGTGGTTCTTTTCATTGTAAGGTTAGCATTAATTATTCGGCTGTTTCAACGTTGAGTAGAACTACGCACAACTTGTGGCATATTTTTTTGAGTCACAAGGCGGAATTACTGACCTTGTATATTCCGTTGTTCGCACCACTGTTTAACAGCAACAAACAGCACAATTATACAACCATGCTGGATCTAAGGGGAAAAAACGTCCGACTTCCACGAGTTTCAAGAAGAACTAGTTCATGTTTTGTCGTGAGAACAGTTAAAAGGACTTATCTTGAACGCTGTTCATGTTTGCACGGCATCAACAGCAAACGTGCCGAGTCAGAGAAATCATTCAACTATAAATTTATGGGAAGTTAAGATACACATCAGTGCTCAAGATCTCGCAGAAAATTCGAGTTTGTTTAAACGAATCGTGGATTACAAATTCTGCAACACGAATTTATGCTATTGAAAGCACTCGTTATTTTTCTGCTCTACTCCTAGTAATTTGTAAATTGTTTTCAGGATCAAAAGTGTGAGGAAGTACTATAGGGGTTTACCACTAAACACGCTTGGATTACTTTGCACAATGTCCAGCACGAAAAAGGAAAATCACGGAGAAATTATTATGCCATTAATTCAAACCAAGAATTTAACACGAGATGTTATTATATCATGTGCTATGTTTAATTTACGCTTATGGAGAATGGTGAGTTTTGACATCAGTCATGTGAAGACAGTATCTGTACGCCGCATAATAAGATGTAGTGATGTGGCCCCGTTCCGAGTTGTTCATTTGTTCAGGATACGGTCCATACACAACTGTATCTCAGGACTCATGTAATAGGCTAACGTTGGATTCTCTCCATATCCACATCCATTTTTACTCTTTCCTTCGCAATAATACCTTAGAAGAAGGTGAATCCGTATGATAGCGCAGTATCGGTTCTGAATACTGATGCACTTTTAATAACGACAAATTTCAGGTGTAAAACACTAGTATTCACGTAAGTGTCTTTTCTTCTCTGGTTTAGCTAATTGATGAACGACGCCCTTCCTCTAACACTGAACGAAAATCAACCTCAGACATTCAACTTAAATGACAAGGGCCAACGGTGAATATCAGCGTACAAACAATCAAAAAAGCAACAGGCAGCCTCAAAGCGCTAGTATCATTCTGATCGTTGGCCAGCGTATACGATGAAAGAAATTGTTCCCGCCTGCAACGTAGAAATGTACGCTAAGAAATCACGTTACGCTGACGATTTCCAAAGTTTAGGAACAAAACAGCAGTAGAGGCGACAATGCAGCTCATTGAAAATACGATGAGAATTGGGGATAATACCGAGTCGTAGCTATTGCTAATATCAAAGTACTCCATGCCCCCACTATCAAAAGCACTGAGAAACTTAGCGAGTAATTCCCCATGGTAAGAAATTACTTTTCACCGATTCTTTGTCTTGTAAACTCTTCTACCTTTTGTTGAAACTGTGAACAGCTTTGTGGGCTGACCACTGAGGGCGTTTCCTATTTCCTTGAATATAAAAGATAAATATCGCTACGTAGAAAGGGCTTACTAGAGCTCAATAATTTAGTTGTGATTTGGGCAAGCAAGTTCACACTAAGTCAGCAGTCGTGCACTACATAAACGATGGAATCGCGAGTATTTGGTCACGACCTTAAGTGGT